TTACTCGATTTTTATTCATCCCTATTTGCCATTTTGCAGCTGTACCCTTTGCAAAGTCTTCTTGTGATGTATTTCTGGAGGCTTCAGGTGATTCTCACATGTGCTCGGTCCCCAAAGATGCCACGTGGTCTCGTTGCTGTTTCCCTCTGCACCAGCCCCAGAACCCCTCCCACCAGCAGGCCCTGCATCTGCCTGGCATTGCCGCTGCTTCTCCAGAAACACCCTGTCGGGACCACCATGCACACCCCTGACGCAGTGGAGCCACCAAAGCCCCAAGTCTGAGTCGGATTCTGTGCTCAGTCCTGCCTTTCCTTGGGCTGGTCACTGCAAGCCCCTCCCGCCCACTCTACACCACTGCCCAGGCTGAGCTTTCAAAAACTCCCATTGGAATCCAGGTCTCTCCTGCTTTCCAAGACTTCAGTGGCTTTTCCAAGACCTACATTATAAAACCAAACCCCTTAGCCAAAACTACGTGGCCCCCAAATCAGCTCTGGTGGGAACTCTTTCCTGGAACTCACTCTCTCCTCATGGGGAACAGCTAACGGCCCCTCGCCCAGTGCCCTGCTGTGTGCCAGGCCCTGGTGGGCTCCGGGGTCAGTGCCCCTCACCATTTCCAGAGGGTTCGTGCTGTCCTTCTTCCTCCAGTAGCTCCTGCACCAAACCCATTTGCCTGACTTCTTCTAAATTAAGACTGACCCCAGTCCGATGACCCAGTGCTGAGTGAGGTCACTGGCCAGAAAAACACCCACTACTCCGAGCCCTGGCCTTCCAGGGTGGCAGGTCATCTTGGCTCCCCACCCCATGCAGGGTAATGCATAGCCCACTACGCTACGGCAATTCCTACCCAGCCCTGTCAATCAGAGTAACCCTCCCAGTGAGAAGAGGACCTGAAAGCCACACTCCTGCACAGTCCAGGAGCTGTCTGAGGCTTCCGAGGGCACATTATCATTTCCTCTTAAGATACAGGTTTGCCTTTGCTACCTCACATGGGCGTGGTGAACACAGCCAGGTTTCCTGTTAAAGGAAGCTTCTTTACTTACCCACGGAGACCATTACATCTTAGATGGCATGGCCAAGACTTGCCTTCCTTTCACTTCTTTAACGGTCATGGTCAGAACCACCCCAAGTGACAGAGATAGGGCTGAGGGAATATCTAATCTTAGCAGTAAAACTCCCATTTATCATATTCAGATGACCAGTTTAGAAGGGAAGACAGCAGCAGTGGAAATATCTCTGGGACCTCTACAAGGGATTAACTCAACAGGCTGTGGAATGTCGGTGCCTCACCAATTGATACCCAGCTATGAACGCATTTCTCCATCTCAAACTCAAGTGACTCTTAGAAAGGGGTCATTGCATGTATCACACACGTAGGGGACTTGTGTCTCCAGTGAGCCTGGCATGTCTGACTGTTATCAGCACAAATGTCATATGATCGCTTGATAGACAAGCCCCAACTAACACTGGGCCTAGCCTCCTAGTCGCCATTACTTTAAACCTCACCCAGAGTTGCCTTGACCAGAGTTTATTGGGATTATGTGGTGAGGTCATCTGAGCCAGTAACTGAGCCAGGAAGCAGAGGCTCAGCCATCTGATGGGCCGGCCAAGGCTCCAGCCACAACATCACTGTCAAAACAATGTCATGGACAAGCCCAAAGTCCGTGATGATCAAAAGGTGCTCTAAGCACGCTAAGGCCTTGCTTAGCATTTTCTAGGCTTTGAGTTAGAAAGGTATATGTAAATGTTTTGACATGATGTTGGGACATTTCACTTAAATAGTGAGCTGAGGTACTGGCAAGAAAAAATCAGACTGCCTTTTATTGAAGTTGCCTCTACAGGCTTCTTTAGTTTGTTCTCTTGTTTGTTTCAATAATGTTAACAAGGGGTGGGTTTTCTCCTGAACTTGGCACTTGGTTGCCTCTTCAAGGCTCAGAATTACAGAGAGGCCTTGTTCAACAAATACTCATTGAGCTCACACTATGTGCCAGACGCTGAGTTAGTCACTAGGAATACAATGCTAGGCATGGGAGAGGGATCGTGTCCTCTCAGGGCTGACAGTTTCATGGACAGTCCCCTAGAAGTAAACTCAGCCCATCATGAGGCTTATCATCTCTACAAGGGCAAAGCCAGCCGATTTGATCCTCAGCTACAGAGCTAGGAGTAACCCTGAGATTTAAAAAAGGGCCCCCTTGACCTCAACTATCTATAGCTCAGCTACAGACATCCCTGGATTAAAAGTGGTGAAAAGTAGCAAAAGTTTTAGGCCTGGAATGGTCAGGCTGACCCTGTTAGGGGTGTGCCAAGTTATTGGATTTATTCCATTCTTTTGAAGATTCTCTAGATTGAGGACCTCAGTTAAGGGCCTCACCCTGCCCACATCACATGGCTGTGACAAGAATCTTCCTTATCTCTCTTGCAGGAATCTTCCTACTTAGTTCAAGAGCAGGGAAAGAAAAATAAAATAAGGAAGGAAGGGAAGAGAAATCTGAGAGCCAGTCTTACTGACCCTTGTGCCAGAGGTGTCACCTAGCTTGCCACTTCCTGCAGCGGTGGCTGGGTTCCTCCAGGCAACGAAAAGGTGGAGCCACTCCCTGGACCCACGGGGAGTGACTCCACCTCCCTGCAGGAACCCTACCTCCAGGCTACAGACAGAGGCCTTCAGGGAGAGCTTCTAGAATTCCAGTGTAAATGAGGTCAGGTAGGTCAAAATGTTTTGTAAACTGTAAAATTCTATAAAATTATAGGTTGTTATTATTACTGTTACCGTTATCATTATAAAACAATAGTGGTAGCATCACTGTTAGACTTGCTGACCAGATATTCAAATCAAGAACCATTACCTCTCCTTTTCTACTCGCTCCATTATCTTTTTATTCTTTCTTTATTGTATTGTATTTTTTCTCTATTGTATTGTACACATAGTACAATAAACATATTCTAAGTACAGTATCCACTGTTTCATTCAGAACTTTTCCATTAACATACAGTCAAATAGTTATAGTTTAACATATAAATAAAATCAAGGCAGTTATATTTCGACTAATATAAATATTTAGGAAGTATACATTTAATTATGGTACATGTTATAGACTTAATCTTTGTGCCTCCAAGTCAAATGTTGAAATCCTAACTCTCACTGTGACTGTATTTGGAGACAAGACTTATGAGGAACTAATAAAAGGTAAATGAGGTCATAAGGGTGAGGTCCTAATTCCACAGCGTTTTTGCCTTTAGAAGAAAAGGAAGTGACACAGGCGCTCTCTCCTCACATCACAGAGAAGACAGTGAGCTGGCAGCCACCTACAAGCCTGGAGAACAGCTTCGGATATGGCTTACCCTGCCAGCACCTTGATCTTAGACTTCTAGCCTCTAGAAGTGTAAGAAAATTAAGATCTGTTGTTTAAGCCCCACAGTTATAGTACTTTGTTATACTATAACCAAAGCAGAGCAGACTAAAACAAACCATTTTTTACTTACTTAAATGTATGGTCACATTTAATACTTATACTTACTTGATAATATATGTAAGTATATTAACCATTTTTGTATGTACTAGAATTTCAGTATAAATAATGTACAGGGGTGGGTAAAAATAGATTAAATTACCAGCTATTATTACCTAAAAGATAAATTATAAGTAAGGATACAAAATAATGATAAGACAAATAACACAAATAAATAATACAGTAATTAATAATTAGATAATACAAGAATAAACTCTATTTTGCTGGCTCACAACTATAACCCTATTTTTCCCTCTCTATATAACAACTGTTCCTTTTCTCTGTTTGCTTGTTTTTGTTTTCAGATGGTGGCTTTTTGCCTAAACTCTTTTTATCAATAAGATATTGCTGCTAGGGACAGTAAATGATTTTAAGGGTTAAAATTGTCATTGCAAGTAATTGCAACATGTTTGCTGTATGTGTACTGTCGGACATCGACTCAATAAATGTGTGGGAAGATTGAATATCTGCAGAAATGTTCTGGTTTGAACACACACTTCTTTAAAATCTGCTTGCAAATTAGAGACTTTCGAAAGCTACTGTTTCAACACTATGGATAATGAAATACAATGCAAATGAGATTAAGTCAAAGAGGAAGGCCCCTGAATGCAATCTTCAAGAGAACATAGGAGACATTTAAGCAAATATTGCCATAAATTAATTCAACACTATGCTTTTTGGAGTAATTTACAAACCAAATTGTGATGTCTATTACGTCTTGAGTCAAGGCATTAGACTCTGATTGCATCTATGTATAGATGCAATCTATACACCGAATCAGACTCTGGAATGACTTCCCTGAACACACAGTACAAAGGAGAAGCAGAAGAACTGGGAAGGAGCAAACTTGAACTGAATCTGCCTCTCTGCCTTGCTGCCCAGCAAGCATGCCTCGTGGAGGCCAGGAGGTCAACTGGGCCTTCCCCGAGCTTCCGACCTTTCCTCTATCACTCTCCCCATCACACGGTGTCTGCCTTGTGCCCTCAGGGTGGCATCCTGTCAAGAAACTGATAGACTAACCTCTCCACAATGGGGAAGTCACTGCTCAGTGTCACCCCTCCCTGCCCATTAAAAATATCCAGAGTTACAAAATGCCCTTGGAGAGGCCATGCTTCAACTTACGCAATCATTTTGATTGATGGCAATGCTAGTCTTTGCTCTCTAGTTGTACTGGTTTTAGTGATTTTATTGATATATAGAGATCAAGTTCAATTAATGTTTTTCTCCACAAGAATATAATAATATCACAAGAATCACTTCAGATTCAAGATACGTCACATGTCATCTTTGAATTACCCATCAATATAATTGTCAACAAAGAGTAGTTTTTCAATATAAATCAAAACCTATTAGCACTTTCAAATCTAAATGAACCTATTTTCTTTCTACTTATCTATCTATTAGTATCTTGTAAGTGCAGGCTGCTATAACAAAACACCACAGACTAGGTAGCTGAAATGACAGATATTTATTTCGCCCAGTCCTGGGGGCTGGGAAGTCCAATCAAGATCAAGGTGGCAGCAGACTCAGTGTTCAATGGCAGCCTTCCTGCTGTGTCTTTATGTGGCATATGGAGGGAGGGAAAGAAAAACAGAGAGAAAGACACAGAGAGAGATCTCATTTCTCCTCCTCTTACAAAGACACTAACCCCATCATGGGAGCTCCACCCCCATTACATCATCTAAACCTGTGACTTCCGGAAGATCCTACCTCCAAATACCGTCCCTGTGGGGTTAGGCCTTCACCAGATGAATGTGTGTGGGGCTCAAACATCAAGTCCAGAGCAGTTCGAGTGTGTTATTACAAGGCACATAAAGTTGTCCTGAAGTAGCAGAAGAAATAAATTTCTCCCGGTGAAAGGAAATTAAAGATTTAATAACTGACGCACAATGTCCAGAGGAGACATTTCCTCTGGGATTGAGCTGCCAACAGAATTGGACTGTCCCCAAATGTACGGTTTAAGAGAATTTCCGATGCGAAACAACTTTTCTTGAGGAGCAATCCCCGATGAACCCCAAGGCAACTTCTGGTTCTGGCATGTCTTGCCCTGGGGAAAAGGATGTGATGTAAGGATGGCCCATCTCCCCTTCGTTGGGCTGTTGATTCATTCCCCAAACACTAACGGATCCCCTGAGGAGCTTGGCCCCTGGACAAACCTTCCCAGAACGGCAGGCCATGCAAGTCTCCCCCCCCCACCCTGGGGAATTACCGGTGCATCCTGCCAGAAAGTGCACACTAAATGCTGACCCTGGGAGCCCAGCCCTTTCATCACCTTGTAATAAACTGGAATTTCCAGAAATTAAAATCCAAATCTGAAATTCCAGCAGAATCTCACCGTGTGCTTGCAATCCAAAAAGAGAGAAGGAATCATCTCGGCCTGCCGTAGGTCTCGGCATCTAAAATAGTTCCCTGCTGATTCATAATGTAAACACAGGGGTTAACTCCCTCCTTTCAGAAATCCGCCCTTGTGCACCCAAAATTATTGTTATCTGTGTTCAACCGTGAGAGCGTGACGAGCTGACTGGCTGCCAGGTTGGCCCTTTGCCTTTCCTGATTTGAATAAATAGATCTGGCTTTGGGCAGGTTTTCCAGACTGACATGCACTCCAGACACGCATGTTATTGTATTAAGATATATAGCGACACAAAAATATTTGTGTAATCAATATATCTCGCTCAGCTTTAAAATGTAGGACAGCTTTTCAAGTAGCCTCATTTTCACAGATCGAGGAGACTGGTCAGAAGCAGTGACAAATGTTAAAGGAGGCAGCATGTTTATTTATAACAGATTGATATTATATCTAGTTTCTGTGTACTAGGAAACGGAAATAAGTTTGCGCAAACCCTTCCCTGCCCCCATAACCCAAAACACAGGAGACACATCATCTGAGCCCTCTTACTGTTTAATGTAATACTTTATCCTGAAACGGGGTTATCGAAGGTCTGGGTTTTCACCCGTTGATTCACCCTAGGCTTTTTGCTTGACAAAAAAAAAAAGATTTCCTATTATAGTAAGGCTGTTCTTTAAAATGTATCTTTTCCTAATGTGGTCTCTTTGAAGTATCCTGTCTATCCTAGCTGTTTCACTTCAGTACACCATCAAAGGGGAGGAGTGAATGAAAACAAATGAAATTGAAACTTGGACCTGGCTAGGGCTGCTGAAGGCTCTTCATTTAAGAGACTGGTTCCTTTTCTCCCACACTGTGGAATCTGAATACACCCTTGAAGTTCTAGTCACCCCAACAGGGTCCGCCTCTACACTTCCTTCCTCCTGCATTCTCCCATCCCATTTGGCAAAGAAACCTCAGGCTCAGACTCCCAGGGAGCAACCGAAAAAGACGCTTGAGGAAGCAAATACAGGCCATGAACCCAGAAGCACGTAACTGAAGTTGGAACATGGCTGATTTAAAGAAATAGACCTTAGACAACGCACACCAATAAGATGTAGGTACTCACATGTGTTACAAAATGCAAACACAAATACTGAAGCTTTCTGGGGTATGTGGAAATGGCCTAAATGAGGCAGGATTTCAGGGATGGATTTATATTCATCCTCTGCTCCTTCCATTCCTTCACCATCAATTTAGCTTTCATTCCCTGGCCAAAGAACTCACAACCATTGGATCAACACAGTCTGTTGTAAATAATATTCTCCCAAATATTCATGAGTGGAGAGCTTGGATCTTTTTTTCTCCCATCAGATCATTTTTATACTGTAGTTTTATATTCTAGAATAGGATGTCAAACCACCATGACATTTTTCTTTGTTTCTCCTTCCTTTCGAGATCTAAATCCAATCATTTCTTCAATGTATATAGAAATCAAATTTCAAGTTATAGAAGTAACTCAGATTTATTCAACTAAATAAAACAATTCAAGGTGAAATTAAAAATTATTTCTCCTCTAACCTCCCTCCATTTTCCTTTCCTGAAGTAATACCCCTATCCATGCTTACACAATTAGACACAGTACCTGTACATACAATTAGGGTGTTTTGTCGTTTCTTTTTACAAACATGAAAGCAGTGCACACTTTATTCTGCTGCTCACTTGGCTCACAGAAGTACACGTCACGGACCATCCCCTACTTCCTACTTTTGATGGTCACAGGGATCGACACCACCAACGTTCCTCTGGTCCCCTACTGATGGCTGCCTTCTAGTTCTGTGTCTCTGCAAACAACGCTAAAACAAACATCTCTGTATGCCCCTCCCTCTCCCACCCTTCCTGCTTTCAAAGTTACCCAGTGATCCCTGGACTTTTGGCCAAAAATGTATTCCTGCCCCTCAGGAAAATGGCCACCTAGAGTTTGCTCCTCAGAAGAAATGGCTTATCCAGGCCCCAAAAATTAAACCGTGTTCAATAATAGCTTATTTTCTCTAGGACACTGTTTTCTTAAAAAAAAATTCCAGCAAATGAAACCTCAGATTTCTCTGGATGATTTCCTCAGTCTACTTAATTTGCACCATTGAAACAAAAATTTTATAAAACCACTAATTAGAAGTTCTTATGTTGTTTTCTGCTTGACCACAGTGTTTTAAAATAAAAGTTGAAAGGTCAAAGAAATCCCAAGTTGAGAGCAGGTGCTCCTGAAAGGACCCTTAACCTGGAACCCTTTGACATGGGACTGCCAAAGCAAGTCAGGAGCCAGTAGCTGGACGGAAAGGTTTTGCTCTCCTCCTGAAGAGTGAGGTGTCCACTCCAATATTTTGACCTCAAATTCATTCTTATTGGCCGAAAAAAACTAAAACAAAACAGAAAGTACTAGGGTTTGACTTTCTCTAAGCCACTTGCTCAGCTCTCCACAACCCACAGTCATGGCCTACTTTCAGTTCCTTAACTCTGGCAGGCTCCCACCTACCTCCCGCAGCTCCTCCGCCCTCTCCACACCCCCACCCCCACCCACACCGCCACCCACACCCCCACCCCTGGCTTCCAGTCTCCTGTCAGCCCTCTCCTCTCCCCTACACCCCCTACCTGAGCTCATTCAGGGTGTGGGGATTTCTGACACTATTCTTATGCTTACCGTGCTCTTTACTTATTTTGACCTTGATTATATGCTTTTCCCACCAGTTTTTGTACCTGTCCCTTTGGATTTAAAACTCATTGGAGAACTCCTAGTGCATCCACTCTGTGGGGGAAGGGTGGCAGCAGGCACTCCCTTTTATTTTCAATTACAGCAGTTGTAGTTACATAATCCGAGTCCCAGTTGTGAGACCATCAGGCCTTCTTGAGCCTCCCACTCTTCCAAAATCTTAGGCCGTGGAATCATGTCCATCTTTCTCCTGAATTTTAGGAAATCAGCATTCCACAAATTTACAGTGCATAAAAATTGAACACAGCTGTTTCCCTCGCCAGCTATCGCAAACGCGCTCCCAAGGTGCCCGTAAGTAGCACTGTGTGAACTCAAATGTTGCCTTGTTCATTAAAATTTATGGAAGGGAGCAGTTTCCTTAGTCCCTTCTGCACTCTCTGGGAAATGAAATTATCAACAAGCTAAGTCAGGAATTTTTCTGGGGCTCTGCTGTACAAGGAGTGAGATATCTAGAAAAGTCTCCCCTCACTGTCTTTCTTGACCTGTGTCTGGGAGCATCTGCCGTTTTCTCTGTGTGATCCCCACGCCCAGCCACCATCACGTCTACTCACCTGCCCCAGTTCTGCCTCTTTAAGGACCCGTGTGGCAACCCTCCACTGTCTCTCAGCCCATCCTCCCAAACACACACACCACATTGCACAGAAGAGGAAAGCCAAGTGGACACAGCCACATTTGCCCTGTATTTTCTTTTCTTATTTAAAAAGATTTTATTTATTTATTTTTAGAGAGAGTGGAAGGGAGGGAAAGAAACATCAATGTGTAGTTGTCTCTTCTTGTCCTGGTGCCCCACACCAGGGAACCTAGCTTGCAACCTAGGCATGTGCCCTGACTGGGAATCAAACCAGCAACCCTTTGGTTCACAGGCTCAATCCACGGAGCCACACCAGCCAGGGCCTACCCCTGTATTTTCTTTAATTTTCTCTTTGCTCACCTAGTTTCAAACTTTGCTATGCTACATCTCTTCTCCCTGTTCCTTGCCCCCCTTCACACACTCAAATTTACACGCACACACTCACTCACTCACACACGCATAGGCCCTACTAGACACAATGCCAGTCACATCACCTGAAAGCTTAGCACGATGCCTAGGACAGAGCTGTAGTCCTAAGGAAACAGGCTCTGCTCCTGGCGGGTTAGAGTCCCCTCCACCCTTATCTTCCATGTTCTCCTCTTCAGCACTGGGCCCTCCAAACACCCCACCCAGACCCAGAACTTCCTGATGGAAACCGCCAGCCGAAGGCTCCTCTCCCCCCTCTGCTCACCACTCCCATCCACCCCGGGCCCTCACTTTTCAAGTCTGTGGCTCTCCTTGCAGATGTGTCTCCTTCATTCCTTTCCTTGTTTACTCCAGTTAGTAACTGTCTACTCTGTTTCTAGGCCCTTCCTCATCACTGATTTTACAAACCCATTCCAAGTATAGACAGTTAACTAATAATACTAATAAAATTCTAAGTCCTATACTTGAAATACCAACTGTGAGCTATTTGACAACAGAGAACGGAGCAACTGTTTCTGCTCGGCCTGGGAGAGAAGGCTGCAGAGAAGAGGTCCAGGGAGCTGGGTCTTGAAGCATGAGTAGGAGCTCCTAGGCAAAGGACGGGAAGGTCATGGGAAAGGCTCTGCGTGGGAAAACCAGGGGCCTGTGCGGCTGCAGTTCGGAAAGTGTGGGCGGGGAGTGGCCCTGTGCGCCAGTGTGTAGAGATCCCGAAACAGCACGCATGCCTGCAGGACATACTTATTTTGGATTTTGGAGGAAGTTGAATAAAGCCTAATTTTAAAGAATGTTTTATGCCATAGGGAAGTCGAAATTTTAGTTTACGGCCAGAATTGGCCAAATGTTTTCGAAACCAAGGAAATGGCATAATTACATCTAGGTTTTTAGGAGGAAATAATTCAAGTCTATGAATAAAGTAGGGGGATTCAGGGGAAACAAAGCATTATGTCAGCAAACTATTTTTTAATGGCTGTATTGATTTGGATTAGGTTTATCCTACTCTTTTGTTGTATTTATTCCAAATCCAGGTTTTTCTTGGGAAATCACATTTCCCACCTTATGGTATTAATTCTGTTCATACTGATGCTTAGTGTATCACCACACAGGTGCCTGGAATCGACCTGGTTTCTGCCGCTCCCAATAGCTTTCTCAAAAAAATGGCGGTCATGTTCACACATATTTCCAATGATACTTGCCTTCCTCCATACGACCCTGCTTTCACCAGCTCATCAAGCATTTCTGCTCACTCTTGCTCCATGTCCATTGAAATCCCACTGGTCACACAGCTCTGTCACTACAAGTCCGT